GGGGCGGCCAAAACCCTGGAGCCGGCCCTGGTGTACATTTGTGCGCCCACGCGTGCAGGAGACACGCACGTAGCCTGCCCCAGCGTCAGCCCCCAGAAGGAGGATGGGAACTTGGAACAAAGGATGGACGCGCTCTTCCAGCTCCAAGCCACTGTGGGCTGGAAAGCTGAGCGCAGCATGTTGCACAAGCCCCCCTGGGAGAGGTTTCCTGACAGGAGTGTGCAGCATGCGGCCCATGATACACCATCACCCAGACAACAATTGACACCAACCATCCTGCCGACCCGCCCCAGCTGAAAATGGGACAACCTGCCCTCCGCCCTGAGGAACTCTCCTTCCTGGGCTTGGGGAGGTTCTGGGCACCAGCGCTTTCCAGAGGCTGAGGGAATGTTGGCGCAGGAAAGGTCCAGGGCAGTTGGCAAGGCCATGGGAAAGAGGGTGTCAAGCAGCTAGGTGGGGGAAATGGCTCCATTGGGTTCGGGGGGAGAGGGGTCATGCTCCAGGGAAGGCAGCAGAAACCAGGGGCCCCCTGAGCAGATGACAGAGACTGAAGGGGAGAAAAGGGGATGTGTGTGACAGGGGCAGCTCCAGAGCCTGGAAGGTCACCCCCACATCCCCCGGGGCCTTCCAGAGACAGGGAGTCACCCCCCCCCACCCATCCCACAGGGCCTGCCAGAGACAGGGGGTCACCCCCACATGCCCCAGGGCCTGCCAGATACACAGGGGATTTAACTCCATACACACATTTGAGAGTCTGCCATGGTGGCGGGGCGGGGGGGTCCCCTTCCTAAGTCTCAAGACAGGTTGTTCTCAGCCCGCGCTGGAGGTGAGGCAACAAAGCCAGGCCACCCAACCGCTGCATAAATGAGCTCTCAGGACCCGACCTAAGCTCCAGAACAAAACAACGAGGTCATCTTGGAAGAACCTTCACCTTTGAACTCTGCTAGCAGGGAAAGGCAGAGGGGGGCAGGCGGGGACCCACAGATCAGGGAATTGGGAGGCACCATTGGTCAGGGCACCCAGCTGGCATCCCACAGGACCAGGGCAGCGCCAGGTCCCACTCCAAAATGCTGCCACGGTCACCGCCCCCCGAATTGTAGCACCCTAGGCGACCGCCTAGGTCTCCTAATGGGTTGCGCCGGCCCTGCCTTTGATCCATGTGCCCTGGGGCCCAGTTTCTGGTGGTGGCCAATGAGGATATGCCATTCTCTAGCTGGGGGTGGCTGGGCATCCTCGCTGAGCTGCCTGCAATGACACGGGTCCTTTCCGGTGAGGCTCCGGACGGTCAGTGCATTTGGGGATGGCAGAGGTTTGCAGGACACAGAATCTGGAGGCAGTGTGGGAGAGGGTCGGTTTACAGACAGTTAAGACAAGTGACTGGTCTGATTTCCTGTTGTTGCCCCAATAGATTGGAGTCCCCAGCCCCCTGAGGGAGAGAGCAGGGTCCTCACTCCAGTGTCCCATCCACTCCCACGGCATCACGCCCTGCACCGTCTCTGCACCTCGCTGTCTGTGGAACCTGTCAGATCTCCCGAATCCTGCTCTGCCATCCTGGTACCTCCCTCTGCCCTGCTGGGGTGAAGTGGCAGTGGGGCTGGACCCTGGCGGGGCGAGAGTTGTGACTCTCCAGGCCTGCCTGTCAGCGCGTGGGGAGCGTTCCCCAGCTGTTTGGATGTGTCCGTATCTGACTGGGGCCCATGGGACACAAGGAGCTCCCTGGCGAATTCACGCAGCTGGCCAGGAAGGTCGTTCCTGAACCACAGCCAAGCCCTCTGCCGCACCGAGGCTCGCTGAGTGCAGCGTCAGCCGTGTTTACTCTTTGTTTCCATTGCCGCCATAACAACGCGATGAGCCATGCCCAGGTGGGCTCCCTCCAGCCCTAGCCCTTCCTGCTGCTCTCAGCCAGGCAAGCCAATGCCAGCGGCTCGGCTCGATCCACTGCGGCGAGGGACTAAACCGAGTCCTAATTAACAGGGACTCCAAAGAGGGAGGGGGAACAGAATTCCTGCTTGGATTCTCCCAAATTACAGAGAGCAGAGATTTTCCATCCTCGTGCTTTGCGTGTGCTGCTCCCCCACCCCTGTTTTCTTTCCATGGCAACATGCACTCTGGAACGCAGGCTGCGCGCTGCTGGGTGGGTTTGGATCCAAGCATCACGACCTTCTGAAAACATGCAGTGTCTGAACAGGCCCACACCACCCTCCTCGCTAAGAACAGGATGGGGACTCAGATGTGCTGCTGGCTAGAGAGGCAGACGCAGGAGCTCTTGACACGCACATCCCAGGAGACTAGATCCAGAGAGAACGTGGTCAAACTGCAGCTTATTCTAGGGTTTTTCCCCAGGTGAAAGTCTGCCCCAGGCCGCTGCACCTCCTGCAGCCCCAGAGGCCCCGCAAATGATGGGAAAGGCAGAGACAAGAACAGCACAGCTTGTGATGCAAGCGCCCCTCTCTCCATTAACAAAAGCTGGGAAGACAAGAGCAGGCAGGAGGGTTGTCTCACCTCTCAGCCCAGGGCCTGCCATGCCCGGGGAGGGGAGACCCGCTATCAACCCTGCAATCTCCCCTCTCTAACAACAACATCCCCAGGAAGCCCTGGGCCCCGATTCGGGGCCTGCTTCACTCCCGTTCAGCCGCAGCTGACTTACTTTCCCCGCACACGCGCTCTGAGGGGGGCCAGGCTGCCTCTCCAGCGAAGACCAGGGCTCAGGGTGGCAAATCCAGCACTCACTCTGCCTTTTGTTGTCACAAGGGACGAGCCCCCGTTGCCGATGCATGTTAGGGTTTAGTTCCTCCTGGTTCATGTTTGCAGTTTTCTGGTGGCGCTTTTCAGTGTGACGGCTTCAGGCAGTACGGCCTCTCTTGCAACCCTCGGTCCCTGGAGCAGTGTGCACAGCAGAGCAGCGGCTGAAGGACTGAGAAGTTAAGAGGTATCGGCTAGGGACGAGAGAGAGGTTTTCAGGTGGATTCGAGATGTGGCAGGGAGAGAGAGAGAGACAGGGAGACTATGCCCTGCAGGAAAAGCTGCAGAAGAGGCATAGCGGGTCCGCGGGGGTGGGGTTGGCCCTAGGGAATCGGGGGGGGGGTTCCGGTGTTGGGCAGGGGGCTGTGTGGCGCAGCCTGGGCCCACTCCCAAGGGGAAGGAGCACGCTGGCAGCACAGGGACGGGCCATCGTGCATCTGGCAGCTGTCGGTTTGTAAATAGTGCCCTCGCACTGGGCTGGGCGGAGCGGGACTGCCCCTGCCATGCCATAGTCACTGAATCAGAGAATCTCAGGGTGGAAGGGACCTCAGGAGGTATCTAGTCCAACCCCCTGCTCAAAGCAGGACCAATTCCCAACTAAATCATCCCAGCCAGGGCTTTGTCAAGCCGGGCCTTAAAAACCTCTAAGGAAGGAGACTCCACCACCTCCCTAGGTAACCCATTCCAGTGCTTCACCACCCTCCTAGCGAAATAGTGTTTCCTAATATCCAACCTGGACACCCCCCACTGCAACTTGAGACCATTGCTCCGTGTTCTGTCATCTGCTACCACTGAGAACAGCCGAGCTCCATCCTCTTTGGAACCCCCCTTTCAGGTAGTTGAAAGCAGCTATCAAATCCCCCCTCACTCTTCTCTTCTGCAGACTAAACTATCCCAGTTCCCTCAGCCTCTCCTCATAAGTCATGTGCTCCAGCCCCCTAATCATTTTTGTTGCCCTTCGCTGGACTCTTTCCAATTTTTCCACATCCTTCTTGTAGTGTGGGGCCCAAAACTGGACCCAGTACTTCAGATGATGCCTCACCAATGTCGCGTAGAGGGGAATGATCACGTCCCTCGATCTGCTGGCAATTCTCCTACTTATACAGCCCAAAATGCCGTTAGCCTTCTTGGCAACAAGGGCACATTGTCGACTCTTATCCAACTTCTCGTCCACTCTAACCCCTAGGTCCTTTTCTGCAGAACTGCTGCCTAGCCACTTGGTCCCTAGTCTGTAGCAGTGCATGGGATTCTTCCTCTTTATTGCCCCTGGCTGTCCCCTTGCTCTGGGGACTGACACCCTCCCCCCGTGCCATGCTCCATTGCCTCCATGGGGGGCCCACACATAAATTTGGCGCCAGGCCCACAAAAGCTTAATCCGGCCCTGGGTGAGAGACAAACATGGTGTCCCTGGGACAGGGGGAGCCCTTCTTCAGCGCCTCCTAACTCCACAGTAGTTTTGCACACAGCATACCTCATACCACGAGGATGAGTGCATTGTAAACGCAAAGCTGCTGAAGCGGGGCCAAGCCTGTAACCATCTGTCACAAAGCTGTGACCATTCCCCGGGGCCTGTCAAAGCTGCAGCAATTGATGCTAAACTGCTGTCAATTCCCTGCTCACTTGCGGATCACTAAGAGCCTTACAAGCCACAGCAGCCCCATCTTGGGAGAGGATCATTATCACTGTTTTACAGAGGGGAAACTGAGGCAGAGACGAGTTCCCCCCTCCCCGAGGAGATGTATATGGCACAAGGTCACCCAAGGAATTGGTCACAGAGCCAAGAGCAAAAGCAGCTCTTTAACCAACCCCCAGCCATCTATCCTTCTGCAATCTCCCCCCCACTCCCCAGCAGCTTTTACCAGCCGCCCCATACAGGGCGGGGTGGCAGGTTTATGATGTGGGGACTTGCTAAGACATTCCAACTCTTTTATGACTCGCTGCACATTCAGACCCATTCTGCACAGATTCCACAAATAATTCGTCCTTGGAATTTGCAACGCTGAGAGAAGATGCTCCATTTCTACCCACAGCCCAGCGCAGGAAGTCCCCGGGGAGAGACAGGCAGGCCCTTTGGAGATATAGGGGCTGAGAGAAAGAGTTGCAGGGTCTGCTGGGGAGAGAGACAAGAGCAGGCCTCTGCAAGGGGGTGATGGTGGGGATTCGGTCTCCGGGCTGGCAGGGCACAGGGAAAGTGCAGGGGTATCAGGCTCAGGGGGTATAGGGGCACAGAGGTGCGGAGGGTTGGCACACGGGGGGCTATGGAGGCACAGGGTGGGTTGAGACACGGGGGGGTTGGGGTATTGGAGCGCGGGGGGGCACAGAGGCACAGGGTATTGGGGCACAGGGGGGTCAGGAGCGGGGGCATTTCAGGGTGTGGCAGGAGGGCACGCGGGGGTTAGGGTATAGAGTCACAGGGGGGCACAGAGGTGCAGGGGGTTGGCACACGGGGGGGATATGGAGGCACAGAGTGGGTTGGGGCATGGGGGGGGTTGGGGTATAGAGGCAAGGGGGGCACAGGGGCGCGGGGGGATATGGAGGCACAGGGTGGGTTGGGGCACGGAGGGGGTCGGGGTATTGGGACGCAGGGGGTCGGGGCACGGGGGGGTCGGGGTATTGGGGCGCGGGGGGCACAGAGGCACAGGGTATTGGGGCGCAGGGGGGGGTCAGGCGCGGGGGCATTTCAGGGTGTGGCGGGAGGGCACGGGGGGGTTGGGGTATAGGGGCACAGAGGTGCTGGGGGTCGGCACACGGGGGGCTACGGAGGCGACAGGGGGGTTGGGGCACGGAGGGGGGTTGGGGTACAGGGGCACAGAGGTGCGGGGGGTCGGCACACGGGGGGGCTATAGAGGCAATGGGGGGGTTGGGGCACGGAGGGGGGTTGGGGTATAGAGGCACAGGGGATTGGGGCGCGGGGGCATTTCAGGGTGTGGCGGGAGGGCACAGGGGGGTCGGGGTATTGGGGGCACAGAAGTGGGAGGGGTCGGGGTCTT